TTGTGTAGAAGTTCAGATTGTATGTTCATCCTGGAAAATTTATGTTTTGAAGTTTCAGTTTTTCTCTTTTTGGTTCTTGTTTTGACCTTGTTTTGTTTGAAGAGAAATTATAACTCAGAAAATCAGAGGATTATTATTTTTTTTATGATTTGATAATGATCGGATTCATATTTGGTCCAAGTCGTTAAGAGTAAAAGAGGATGGTTAGTTCTTATCTACGTGTTTAGCGCCATCTAGCGTGGGAGTGGATCAATTCAGTTTCTCATTCTCTTTAACTAAGTATCAAATGAATTGTTTACAGATAGCAAATGACCAAGAATTGCAATTTTTATGAGCTTTACACTTTCAATTGTTTCTTCAAACCTTAAAAATTTTCTTACCAAAATAATTTTCAGGAGTCGACATGTCTGTATCATTGATTTAGAAATTGGATTTAAAGCTATCAATCTTTACAAATGTATCTGTATTAGAACGTGCAATTTTTTATATCTATACATGTTCATTATGCTTCAACATTTATCACACGCTTCAATTGGGTAAATGCTTTGGTTTTGGCTCCTATGCAATCTGACTTTCATGTAGTCGTCTTCCAAAGTGTATTATTTATTCGGTTTATCCATAACAGGCTAAGGTAAGATGGCTGAGGGAGAGGATATTCAACCACTTGTTGTCGACAATGGTACTGGAATGGTTAAGGTTAGTAATAATTTTCTTGCCGCACATGTTGGTTATCCATTTCTGTCTATCTACAGCACTTCATTGCAGTTCCTATCACTTTTACTATGCAGGCTGGATTTGCTGGTGATGATGCTCCAAGGGCAGTGTTCCCCAGTATAGTTGGTCGCCCCCGGCACACTGGTGTCATGGTTGGAATGGGACAAAAAGATGCTTATGTTGGTGATGAAGCCCAGTCAAAAAGAGGTATTCTTACCTTGAAATACCCCATTGAGCATGGTATAGTCAGTAATTGGGATGACATGGAGAAGATTTGGCATCACACCTTTTACAATGAGCTCCGTGTGGCTCCAGAAGAACATCCTGTCCTCCTCACGGAGGCACCTCTTAATCCCAAGGCAAACAGGGAGAAAATGACTCAGATTATGTTTGAGACCTTTAATGTGCCAGCCATGTATGTAGCTATTCAGGCTGTCCTTTCTCTGTATGCTAGTGGCCGTACAACTGGTATGTTTCATGTTGACCTGTAAATTGAAATTTTTGCCCTTGTCAGTTCTTTATCAAAATAACAAAACTGCTTTTCTTTCTTGGACAGGTATTGTTCTTGATTCTGGTGATGGTGTGAGCCACACAGTTCCTATTTATGAAGGATATGCCCTTCCCCATGCCATTTTGCGTTTGGATCTTGCTGGTCGTGATCTTACAGATTACCTTATGAAGATTCTTACAGAGAGAGGGTACTCATTCACGACAACCGCAGAACGGGAAATTGTCCGTGATGTGAAGGAAAAACTTGCTTATGTTGCTCTAGATTTTGAACAGGAGGCTGAGACTGCAAAGAACAGCTCCTCAATTGAGAAGAGTTATGAGCTACCAGACGGACAGGTGATCACCATTGGTTCTGAGAGATTCCGTTGTCCAGAGGTTTTATTCCAGCCTCCTTTGATTGGAATGGAAGCCGCCGGAATTCATGAAACGACCTACAACTCAATCATGAAGTGTGATGTAGATATCAGGAAGGATCTATATGGAAATATCGTGCTCAGCGGTGGCTCAACTATGTTCCCAGGTATTGCTGATCGTATGAGTAAGGAAATAACTGCTCTTGCTCCCAGTAGCATGAAAATCAAGGTGGTCGCGCCACCCGAGAGGAAGTACAGTGTTTGGATTGGAGGCTCCATCTTGGCATCCCTAAGTACCTTCCAACAGGTAATTATCTCTTTTGCTGGCTCACATGTATAGAATTAATTAATCAATGACGACTAAATGAAACAAAAGAGGGAAATCTAACAATAACAGTGAAGGGGATAGATGTATATCTACTGTTTTGAGTTTTTGGAATCCAGACCAATGCTTGACAGTCCTGCTGTATTGTGTTTAATCATGCAGATGTGGATCTCAAAGGCTGAATACGATGAATCCGGTCCTGCAATTGTTCACAGAAAATGCTTCTGAAGCTGGTTAGCAAACTTGTAAGTCTGCTTGTCCATTTACTGTATCGTGTTGAATGAGTCGTCAAGTTTATTCAGCTGGGAATGAGTAGAAATACGGGTGAAGCAATAGTGTAATGGGAAGTTAACCAGTTATTTCAGATTTTCCTTGCTTAAAGGTGGTTTGTCGTCCAGTGCATGACTAATGGATCCGCTCTTATTCCAGGGAAGAGTGCGTTCTGGTGTTAATTCTGGTCAAATGCGAAAGCTCGTTGGTTGGTAGCTTGGATTGATTGGCTTGCAGTTTTGGTACATTGTTAGACCATACATAGTAATTGCTATAAGGTTGTGGGCATTTTGTTTTAGTCTTTTGACGTTCAATGGATTTAGCTCTGCTTCCATTATTTTGTGTATCTTATGATGTGTTGGTTGAGGCATTGGAGGAATGTAAAAACATTAGATGGCTTTGATACCGAAATTCATAGATACTTACTGTCTCTCGAGTCATGCATCCCATGAAAGTTAAATTGTCATGGTGGATACCTTTCCACCATTCCATCACATTATGCACTGTAATCCGGATGGATGAAAAGGCATCAGAATCTACTATCCTGTGTGAGAAGAATATATGATTTTGTCATCAGCTGCTGCTGCTGCTGCTGCTGCTTTTTTAGGTACTTTCCAGCACATGTTAAGACATACCAATCCAATCCCTTGGATTGGTATCTTTAACTTGGAAGTAACAGCATCATGTTTGGTCCCTTGGGAGTGATTACTGTTTAGTGTAGAATACATTGGAAAAATGGAAAACATGAATATTGGGGTCCTTTCTTTGGTAGCGTTTTGGGTTTTTCTTGTTATGCTGATCTTGTGCATGATCTTGAGGCAAGAGGGTTGGGGCATGATATCCACCAAAGCTGTTATAATAAAATGACTAGCAAATGACTAGCTTGGGAAGAATTACCTTTTTTCTATTCCCCATTATTTCATCACAAACACCTTTCGTCAATTAATTTTCAGCCAATTAAGGATAATTGGCAATTAATTTCTCAATTTGGGCTGAATTTAAAAAAATTAATCAGTCAATTAGGATCGAATAAAGCGCGGGAGAGACATGCATGCAGGTTATTGGGATGTTAAACTGTCAAAATGCGACGTATGTTTTAAGAAAATCCCAAAGTAAGAGATGATTTGGCTTTTAAAATTGACTTTCTAAATAGGCTTTTGAATGACAAATGGGTCTTCGCTCATCTTTCTATCCTTCTTTGCAAATTCCCTTGAAAGTTTGAAATGAAAAGGTAATGATAGAAAAGTAATAAGGAACTGCTAACACCACAATTTAAGTGTCCTCGTTAAAAATAATTTAGGTCTTGTTTGGATTACCATTTTTTTCAAAAATTTTTTTACATTTTTCTAGATTCATTTCTTACCCACTATTTTACCTTCTATATATCAAATCAATACAGTGCACTTTTTATATAGAAAAACTCCAGAAAATAGCAATTTAAACAGGCTCTTAAAACCCAGTGAAGGTAGCCATCTTAGCTATTGAGAACTTTGGTGAGGAATTGTTTAGTGCTACAAACAAATGTGAATGGTCACTTAGTCAGGCACGTGTTCAAGTTAGTCAAGAAAATTCATCACTTTGTTTGGATTGCTGTTTTCCGTCGAAAAATTACGTCGTTTTTTATAATCACATTTCTCTATTATCTTTTTTCCTCACATACATTAAATCGCTACAGTAATTTTTCCATGAAAAATCATGAAAAATGTAATCCAAACACAAGTCACACGAATGAAGTTGAACCTTAAGATTAATACTACATGTAATTAGTCCATTTTCTTCCATTGACTAATACTCCATGTAAGCTTAAATTCTCTAGAACAAATAATTAATTTGACTACCCATTAGTAATTAGCACTTGTAATAGCCAATAGTGCCACGTACCTCATGCGCCTAAAACAGTTACACAAGGCTTAAGGAAAGGGAAAGGCGCTGTCGCCTGCACCCGGATCGCGATCCGCGTCAGTAAATTGATTTCGAATCTGACCGGTCCATTCCTCCTTCAAATCCAACGATCCATTTTCACCCCCGCCAAACCCTTCCCCCGAAAACTTCAAAAATTTTCACTCCGTTCTCATCTTTAAATACTCTGCTCTGCTTCCCCAAGCCTCAAATCATCACAATCTTCACGAAATCTCTCTCAGCTCAGGCATTTTCACAAACATATACGACTCAAGACTCGAATCTTTCCATCATGGCCAGAACCAAGCAAACAGCCCGCAAATCCACTGGAGGCAAGGCCCCGAGAAAGCAACTGGCCACAAAGGCTGCCAGGAAATCCGCCCCAGCTACCGGCGGAGTGAAGAAACCCCACAGATTCCGTCCCGGAACCGTGGCCCTGCGAGAAATCAGGAAGTACCAGAAGAGCACTGAACTTCTTATCCGGAAGCTCCCGTTTCAGAGGCTTGTGAGGGAGATTGCTCAAGATTTTAAGACTGATTTGAGGTTCCAGAGCAGTGCTGTTGCGGCGCTTCAGGAGGCTGCTGAGGCGTACTTGGTGGGTCTGTTTGAAGACACTAACCTTTGCGCTATTCATGCCAAAAGGGTTACTATTATGCCTAAGGATATTCAGCTGGCTAGGAGGATTAGGGGTGAAAGGGCCTGAGTAACTTGTGATTTTTGATAATGGGTTCAGTTTATTTTAGATCTAGACGATAAATTTAGACTTACTTAGAGGAAATCAGTGAAATGCTGAGATGGGCTGGTTGTATGTTCTTCTGCCTTGTGGCTTGTTTTTGTAGTGAAAATTTGGTGGTGAAATGAATGAAAATCTTATGATGTTTGTTTCAGTCTTTTAGTACTGTTAACAATTTGATATAATTGATGGTTGCTTTTGGAGCTGTTCCAAAAGAACTTGTAAAGTGCAAGGGCTGATGATCCGCATTGGTTATATTTACCTCTACAGCCAAAAAAATTACACATGATTTGAACGGTGTTAATCAAGAATCATACTATAAATGACATCTGCAAAGTTCCCTCCAGCCTCGGATCTCTTGGCATCTTACTCAACTCTTGAGGCACCCAAGGCTTCAAGTACTTCAGCATGGGTTTCCGCCCAGACACTGCACAAGTACATGGTACTATATATCAATAAAACACAATTAACGGTCATGGAGGTCAAGTTATCTCACATCTCAAATCAAATCTCAAGATATTAAACTGACCATCACAGTGACCACCGATCATGAGATGCAAAATCGATTGAGATGAATCAGAAAAAATATTTAAAAACATATGCAGATGAGCTCATTATATCTTACTTCGCTATTCTGTTTCTGTAACTAGTTTTAAAACGAATTCACAGATTTCTAATGGATTTAATGAACATGACAGATACATAGTTACATCAAAATTTCATATTCTAGCAGCAGAAGTTTATGGTCAGAGTCAATATTTACACACAGATGTGTATGTGTCTCAGCATAATCAAGTCAAAAGCCCTTTAGCCCTTAATCCTCTTTAGAGGCCCTTATCCTTATGCAAAACTTATCAGAAAAGAAATTTCTAAAATTTGTAAACTCCAACACCTTGCTTTATATTGGGGAATCTCCAAGGAGCAAGAATTTGCCATCCTAACATCCAAGAGCTACTAACTGCCTTGCAGTAAATTAGCCTTCACCCATACTGAGCATATCTGAGATAGACATCTAGCTGCCTATCTGTCGATATGTAGGGATCGCTCCAAATTTTAGTCTGGGGCATGCTGAAATTACTAAAAGAACTAAAGGAAGTTGCACATATGGATTTGGTTCAAGGCGAGAAATCGCTTTAACTACAAACCATACCATAGAGGTTGAAATTATTCAGTTTGAAGGACCAAGATTTTTCCCAGTGCAGTTAAGTGCAGCGTACAACTTAAAAGTCCAATGGACATTAAACTGAAACACAAAATAACTTGTCATTCAAACACGCACCAAGGACAATAAAGACCTTTTTTTACTAATTTAAGTATGTTTCTGTGTAATTTCACCTTTTGAGTATATTTGACCATCAACTGTACCAAAAAAAAATCATTAAAAATCACTCACCAACATAAAAACCAAGTTCAGATCCCCGAACTCATCGCAATTAAAGGCCACAAAGAATACCACAACACTGCAGCTCTTTTCTTGTGGAGTAGAACGAGGAAGACAATTCCTCTATCCCATGATCAACGCAGCCAGCATATTGGAATAGAACAACAAAATGGCCATTCACCTATTCCTGAACCAGCAAGACCATCGAAGCAAAACAGCGTACAATGTAACTTTAGGAAGTGATTTTGGTGTCAAGTAATCATACAGAACTTTCATTTCTGCCAATAAAAATTGCATGAAGTTTTTTAAAACCAAAAATATGTTCAATGACTTATTACTTCCACATTAGAAGATTGTCAGAAATTAACTGAAAAGATGTCTCACTAGCAGCCAGAATGCTGTTATATGTGCAGAGCTCTGTTTGAAATTCATGGAGCACTGTCATCAAAGAGAATTTTGTAAAATCGCTTTCTTTCTTCTGGGTCAAATATGCCACCAATATCTCCACCTTGATCCTCATTTTCAGACATTTCATTTCTCAAATTATTCTTTTTCTCAGGTCTGGATGTGATCATGCCTTTCTTTCTCTTCTTTTCTAAATTTAGCAAATAGTGCCTTTGATTATATTCGTGAAGCCCCTCCTGCATGAGTTCTCCAAATTTATCCTTCACAATGACTGCCGGATCCTTGTCAATCAATTCAGATCCACTATATCCTTCTCTAAGCAGGACTGTGTAAATCTGGTATTTATTTGAGACATAGAAGACACCAGGATGCTTAAGCAGCAAGACATTTAACTTCTCAGGCAAGCAAAATTCTTTTCTGAAATGGCTTAGCTTGAGAATTGACAATTTCTTCCACAAGGTCAGTGATAATAATTCATGCACCAAACCCACGATTCTTTTGTCCATTTCCTTTGATCCCTCCACCAAACTACCAGGGTCAGTGTATGGTGAAATGTATGGTGTTGAATTAAATTCCTCAAACCTTTCCCAAGATTTTACCCAGGAAGAAGGCAATGAACAAGAAAAACCTGGAGGTCGACCCTCCTTTAGAGCTATTTTTTCAATTGCAGAAACTGCTAGATTAGGGTTCCATGTTTTGAGCTCGATTTCCATTGAACTTCTCCTTCCAGTATAATTAACAACTCTAAATAATTCAGGATACTTTGGTACAATTCTAATCAAGTAGTCATCGGGAAAGCCAAAGTTCCTCTTCAATTCATTCAGCTTCATCACATTAAGCCTTTGATTTGAGCTAATCATCAACAACTTTGCTAATCGCTCTGCAAACACAGGCTCTTGCATATCCTTCAAACATTCTTCCTCATCAACCAAAGCCATCATTTGTTTTGTTAATCGACAATACTGCTCATCATTCTCAAGATAGACTTCAAAGCAACAGGGATACTTTTTAAGCCAATTGAGAGCATTCCCTTGAAGATCAAGAGTCTTGAACTTCTTCTGAAGAAACTTGACTGATGCCACCTGATTCGGGCACCGAAGAAGGACATTCTTAATTTGATTATTTACTATCCAACGACGGTTGCGAGATAAAGCAGATTCAAGATCTGGATCTTTCTTCATTGACCAGAGTGAAAATTTCCTGTGAACGTGAGACCTATATGGGCCATCAAATAGGCCAACGTTCCAATACAAAATACCTCTGAGATGCTTGCCTATCGCCATTTTCGAATTACATCTCATATATACCTTTAATGCTCTACAACTTTAGGAAACCTGAGCCCAGAAATGTAATGCTACAATTAATCAAAAGAACTTCTTAAAAAAAACACAAAATTCTTATAAACCTAATAAAAATTAAACAACAAGAAGAACAGAAAGTCGAACTTTGGCTTCAATTTATATCACAATTGAACAACTTTAGGTCTTCTTCAAACATACCAACGAGAACAAACAAATTTAGGCCTTTATATTTTAATTCCGGGAACTTTACTTTCTCAACCAAATCAAAAGTTTTGATCCACCTCATGTATTTTTTGTCAAACGCAATTCCAAATTCAATTATAGCTTTCAAACATCATTTGTCTTTCCTTGTTTTTCCCCCTCACAACGCAATCTTTAAGCTCCAAAGTCCGCGTAAAACCTCCAACAATTCAAAAAAGAATAAGAAGAAGAAGAATGCTTTTTGTTATTCTTAATGGGGCAGACGCTTTCTTTACTCAAACATTTTGATTCTCCATTCCGATTCTTGACAGCCCAGATAAGAAGTTTCAAGTATTTCAGCAAGTAAAAGAAAAAAAAAACCATAACATCAATTCAGGAAAGAATTGAAAGAGTGAAGATAACTATAGAAACCTGTAGCAGGCAGTTTAGCAGCTTTCATCAGTTTCCTGGTTCTTCTACCCTTTTCTTTTCGTTTTATGCGCCCAAATATGGCAAAATCAGGCAGAGTGTATCTAGAACGCGAAAACTGTAGTCAGTAGGCTGGGACTGGGATGGACAAAAGTTGAAAAAAAAAAAAAGTTAAGTGTAAATAAGTCTAATGGAGCCCAAAAAAAAAACAAAATTCGAGGAGGAAGAAGAAGTAGAAAAAAGAAGACAAATATGTTATTTTACTTTTCCTTTGGTAAAAAAAAAACTGAAAACTCATGCCTTCAAAGCTTTAAATTTTGTTTATCTATACTTATGAAATTGAAGTTATGTATAAATTAGGTTTCCTTAATGAAATGAGTTTGAGTGGAATTAACTAGTTTGAAATTCATAAATATAACGCTTAGTTATTGATCGACTTAATATATTAATGAATACTCAATTATTCTCTATTTTTTTTTTTAAGAATTTACTAAATTATTCTTAGTACAATGAGGTGGGATATTTAAATTAATGTTACTACGTGCGTGTGTGTATATATATGTGTATATATATATGTGTGTGTATATGTATATGTATAATGAATATTCCAAGACAACTATAATGAGTCAAATTAATTCTTTACCAACATAACTATTATACATGTAATTTTCTAAGATTTAACTTGAGCTTGTTTCTTATAAATAAAGCTCAAATATTAAAAAGTTGACTTGATAAAATACCATATCAAGTCTTGACTCAAACAACAATCCAGCCCAACCTCAACACGAATGGTAGTTTCATTTGTTTGTTTTGACCAGCTAATATCCTTAACTGTAACTGCGCCTTTGGTTTATAATGGCTTGGCTGCTTTGGAAGCGCGGACGCCATCAGAGCTTGGAATGCGCTTTTGTGTATAAGATTGTTTTATTTCATCCTAGTAGAACTAATACTACTAGATTATCGAATTGCCAACCTAGGGTGTGTTTGATAAAACTGAAATTTAAAAACTGAAATCCGAAATCTAAACATGAAGTTTGAATTTACTGAGTTATTGTATTGTTACATACTAATTCTGATACATTTGAATGTATATCATATAAAGTGATAAGTGAATATTTTATCACTTATTTTTTATAACAAATTTTACCTAGAAAATTTAGTACCATTTAAATAATTCAAATGTTCAATTTTTTTTTTATTATCAAAACACGTATGAACATATTAAAATTTGAATCCATTAAATTTAAGTGTTAAATTAAATTATCAAATAGAGCCTTAGAAAATCATATATATATATATATATATATATATATATATATATATATATATATATATATATAATAAAGTCGTATTCTCATTCTTATCCCTTCATGTTTTCTCTTTCCTACGTGGTTTAACGAAACGGCAAGTAATTTCCTACGTGGCTTGCTTCTTTTTTATTTAGATATATATCAATTCTTATTTCCTATAAGAATTCTTAATATTATATGATTCTTATTTCCTATCCAAAAAAGGAACCGGAAAGCAATGCGATATAAATAAAAGAGACATAAATATCTCTATTAGATATATCTCCAAATTCATGCCAATAATTTGTGTACTATATACGAAGTAAATAAGAATTGTTATCACTACAAGAAATAGAAAAGTAACTAATTACCGAAGTAAATTATTAGATGTTCAAATTTATATTATAAGAATACTTTATATTACAATGCGCATATAGTAATATACTTAAGAAAGGTTATAATAAAATAGACATTAAGTTTGTATTTTATATCGATATTTTTATAAAATTAACTAAATAGTTTATTATTTTTCAAACATTCCCGTTTAACGAACGGGTACAAAACTAGTTACAAAATAATGTCGAGAAGGGTCTGGTATAGTGACTAAGGTTGAAGGTTCAGGACTTATGAGTCTTGTTAGGTACAAATCTTCCTTACTCCTCTCTCTGATTCATAAATCTCACTTCCACCCCTGCTAGGGAAAAAAATTGAAAAAAAAAATCAGAAATCAGGTTTTAGAGAATTACGAAGTATTCCTCCTGTAAAAACCGATGTTACAATGCCAAAATATAAAATACCTTTTTCGGCACTCAAGAAATTTCCTTAACTGCTGAAATAGGTAATGTTCCACAGTCTAAATAACATACTCGATCATTTTCACAAATACTCCGGGAGATCAATATAGGAGTCTGCCCCCAACAGATCCATTATTTAGTGTTTGTCGAACGAAAATCAATAAAAAAAAAACTGAAAATTTCACAAAATTTGGTTCTGAATAAGCCTGAAAATGGGTACATATCGATAGAAGAGATGAGGGTAGTCTCTATAGTTAGTTACAACACAAGGCATCACCTACTCGACAGTTATTAAGGCCATCCCCATAATAAGGACTCTCTAATCAATCAATGGCTAAGAAGTTTTGAATACAAATGAATTCAGGAAGCTGGTACAACCAATACCAAAAAATTCATTTCTCCCCTTCAGAGTAGAAAAAAAAAGAGCTCCAAATTACATTAGAATGTCAAAAAAAAAAAAAAAATTACAATCATATACTACAAAACAGTCTTGCATTTTTTCTTTAAAAATGCTGCAGCTTTGAACATCCTCTATTTCATCAGAAATCTCCAGCGCGGAATTGAAGTGAGCTGTCGCTTTTGATGCTGCATGATCACTTCTGACGACTATTAGACTCTGGAGTCTGGACCTCCATCCCCGGCAAGGCGAATGAACAGCAAGGAGATAAGTAGGTGACCAATCAAACAATACTAGGTGCATCCCCATCCCAGTTGCAAGTAGCACGAGGCCATCGCGTTCTAATGCAGTCGACCAAAGGTGCATGCTGAGAGGGTTCCGGTTTGGACGCCTCAGCAGCAGCCTCCTTTCTAGTAGGCTCATTGATTCCTGAACTGGAGGACACTGCTACATCTGCCATGAACTCCTCAGGCGTCCACCTTGGAGGCACTGAAACCCGCAATTTGGTTAGTCTCGGTCTTTGTATTGGGATTTCATTTCCGGAAGCTGCCTGGCTTCCATTGGGGACTGATTTTGCAATTCCGTTGAAATGATACAGATCAAATACCTTCTTGCCCATCATCCCAGTTGAATCCTTCAAACCTCCTAAACTCTTATCCAAATCCAAAAGAACTTGCCAGAATTCACTCCATACAATAAAACCTGTATTACAAAGGTGCTCCACCTTCTCAGCAGGAAGGTTAATGCCTGTATCTCTCAGAACTTGATGAAAACCCTCAACACTAATGAACCCACCACCTCCACTCTGATCTTGGGCATCAAAAGCCCTCCTGATCCTTGTTTCTCTGCTTTCAAATTCATTTTCCTCCTGAACCTTGGTATCAAGGGCAAATAGAACTGTATAATGAGATTCACTGCCCACAACCCATATTGGCCACTTTGGGCACTTTAAATACTGACCAACTTTGCAGAAGTTCAGGGACTCCAGCAAAGTTAGAAATCCAACATCTACAGTGGATGAAATGCCTTTGACAAGCATGCCACTGCCAAGGTCCACCCTTCCATCAAACACATTTGCAACAGCCCTCCCAGAAAGCAGGAGGTTCACAATTTCCTGTTCCAAGAAACCATTAACTTGATTTGAAACCAAACACAGAAGACGCAAACCCTTTATGGTTATCCATCAAGAGAGGATCTTGAATGATTGCAAAGGAGAAAATATTAGTTTTCTTGAAGCTCACACTTTACCTGTGAGGCATGCCCAAATGGAGCAGTGACCAGTGGTTGACTAGGATCATCCCTGTCTGCTTGAACTGAATCCTGTCCAAACGGGATAAAAAAGAAAATACTGTGTGTGTTAATACATGACAGATGACTGCAGAAAATATACATATATGAGTGGGTGCACTTCCTTAGCAACTTCTAGATAGATATACCCAAGTTGAAATCATTGAACTCTAATGCTTTTTATGTGCGAAATACTAGGAGATTTCCAATATTGCACTACAATGCACTCAAGCAACTTCTAGACTTGGACGCAAGAAATCGTATTTTGCATACATAGATAGACATCAGTCTGCAGCACTTCCATCTCACTCCATTCCAACAATTAGCACGTCATATTTCAGTGTAGGAAAGAAAGTTTCAAAAATAATCACTTGGTGTAAAAATAAACTGGCTTACTGACACATGTTTAGCATAACTGCATGGATTAACAATTTCAGTGACGTATTTCAGGGACTCACAAGAAAAAAAAAAGAAAAAAGAAAAAACACACATACCCACACAATAGCCAAAATTAAACATCTTCTCCAATTCTTAAGAATCTGTCACAGTTTCCAAAAGAATGGTCTAAAAAATGAGATCAGTTTATATACGAGATTAGAGCAGAATCAATGAAGGCCATTAAGCTGACAAAGCAAGCGACAAAAATCCCTTGTTTGATGAACATTCTCATTTGGATCTTCCATTTATGTAAGGCATCCACTGATATGGTCCATGAAATCAATTTAAAATTCCTTAAAGTTATCCACCTATTCCAAATTGACTGTACTTTTTTATTTTCAGAATGCAACTTCTAAAATTAGTTCCCATTTGTCTCAATTTTCTACTACCTAATACACATCTTTTATATCTTAACAAAAACTTATGCCAGGTCAAAACTCAAGCATATACCATTTACAGTAAAAGGAGTAAAATTTTGTTATCAATGACAGTTCAACTCCAGTTAGTTGCTGTCCTACACATGATCACTAATCACTGCCCAGTTTTCTCCAAAAAAAAAATAATTACTAATGCTCAAATCACCCACTAAAACCATGGATCACATTAATTGCATTGAAATGATGCATGCACATGATGAACATCCAAGGTATCAAAATTATGCTAATCCAACCATATAAAAACAGGAAAGTCCCTCGAGTATTGCTACTTTTTCTTCTTACAAATTGCCTGGGTAAGAATTAATAATTCCTGCAAAGTTCACAATTTATGCACTTGAACCAAAGTAACTAACCTACAAGTAATTAGCTTCCTTCGCCTCTCTGCCAACTAAAATTAGGGTTTTCTTATCAATAGCATTCTATGCTTTTATATATTTTCCTAAATTTGGAAAACATATTTTCCTTTTGGCACTCATGATAATTGAGTTGCATACCTCATTGGTTACACATAGATCCAAAACTTTGGTTCAGAATAGGTCCAGGTCAAGCAGCACCAAGCATAGAAAAGGAAACGCCTTACCAGTTTCTGAAAGTATGTGTGCTCATTCGGGACTTTCTTTTCCCTTAAAGAACAAAATATTTTTTCCTTTCTTCCTTTTCTTCCCCCCTCTTTCCCAACCATTCAGTTATATAAGAGCTTTATCACCTTGGATTCACAATACAACTTCATGTATCATAGCTCATCCTATAACAATGACATTCGCAATCATGATGGCATGCTACTCAGATGAAGCCTAAAACCCAAATCACATAGAGGAATTGTAGCTTCTTCCTAATGATTTAAGAAAAATAAAGACATGATGTAAGCACTCTCAAGAAGATATAACAAACCAGTCCACGAGACAGCAGAGCAGATATTAAGAACAGGATTGCTCCCATACGACTTCTGAAAATGGGAAGCATTGCTTCAAGTCTTTGTACTGCACTAGTCCTTGAAGTATAAGTTTCCACTCTCAGGGCCTTCTGCAAGTCAAGCCCTGATTCAATTGCAAATCCTTCTAGTACTTTTAAGATGACCTGTGTTGGGTGTCAAACAGAATTATGAGAAAGAATGCTCATGAGTAAATATTATCAGCATAAGATCCACAAGACATAATAACTTTGTAAGAATAATTTAACACAAAAATTATGACTCAATAACTGCACTTTCAAGCTGGCAAAACCACAAATCAAATAAAATATGCTACTCTTTACAAACTCACTTCATCCTTTGAACTGTCTTCATCACCATGAAGAACACCAATGGACGCTATTACAGCTGTTTCGTTATTTCCACAGAGAAAGAGTATTTCACACATGCTTCTCACCAAAGCTCTGTCACAAAGAGACAAAAGTTGTTTAATACTTGAACAAATGATAGAGAGGGAGAACACAAGACAGTTGAAAATAAAAGGCAAAAATTTCAAATCACATCACTTGATACTTTACCGTCTTAACCAAGATTATGTATCTTCGATGAAAAAAAAAATCCAAACTCATACAAATCAGGTCTGTTTGGATTGTAAGTTATTTGGGATTATTTGAGATATTTTTACTGTAGCACTTTTTGTGATGTGGTGTATGTGAGATAAAAAGATATTGGGAAGATAAAAAGGTGTATTGGAAATTGTAAAGATGATGTAAGCAAATAAAATTGGGAAAATATGAAGCAATCCAAACAAACCCATGTTATGTTAAAGATTTGAACTATTAAATTCAAGAAGGCGTAGTGGAATCAAAAGGTACACACAAAACTTCAATGGGTATCATTTATGTCAATGATCAGAGAGACTGAACTCAAAAGAGCATTAAGATCACATTGCGGGTGATCTACAAGGTTGAATTTTAAAGAGATACAAAAAATAAAACCCCAACCTGTTAAATGAGGCAGGTTGAAAAGAGATAAGCGTACTAGCTCCTTCTCTACATACAAGCTGAAAGATGAAGTTGAGGGCGAAACATACATAGACAACAGTGAGAAGATTACATTGAAGTCCTTCCAATACTGGTAGTTTGTGAAAAGTTAGCTGTTGCCTCTCCCTTTTACTCTTAGATGAAAGCTTAGATAGGAAAAAACTAGCTTACAATTTATAGAGGCATGCTACAGGTGGTTTTGTTGGGAGCTGATTGTTGAGTAGGTAATCCTTCCAACTAATATACAATCGAGTTGATTACTACTTAACAATCTGCAGCTGATCATACGAAAAATCCTAAAACTTCTCTAACATTGTGTGCTGCTCAGATACAATGACAGCGAAGACATAAGGTTGTCAACCATAAGCAGCACACCATAACCCTCAACTTGTCCCTACCTTTTTGGTTGACAAGCAGCAAAAGAGAAATGGCAGAGAAAGAGAAAGATAGCAAGCAGGACACACAGGGCTGAAGGGAAGAAGTCAAAGATTAGTGACCTGGATTTTCTGTCTTCTGAAAGGGAAGAAAAAATATCTGCTGCAATGCATTCACTTTTGGAGGATCTTGGATCTGTAATTCTGGCCATGCCTGGTGCAGAATCACCTGAATCTTCTAGATGGAAAAGAAGATATTTGAGGACAAAAGCCTGCACAAGAAAACATATTTTGTCAAAACAAGGAACTTATTATTGTGAAATGAGAGTCAACAAGGCTAACATTAAGTAGGAACAAGCAAAATTGGCAGAAAGCGTGGAAGCAGTGTTAGTTACAACAAATGCAATCTGAACATCATAGCTTAGATGTATTACCATCTGGAGATGCAAAATTGCTTACAATGTAATAAGTCCGCAGAGGCTATAGTACTCCTAGATTTTAGAGGTTTTAGAAAATATGAATCTGTCAAATGCATCAACAATAAATTCGAGTCCTGCATTGAATTTGAATTTCAATATCTAGTAACTCCAGTCCACAGGACCCCAAAAAATTGCAATGCTAACTTAATTTTCCAACAAGAGAGATCAAGTGAATGAACCTTCTTTTGGATTAAGCATCAAATTTAGTGTAAGAGCTATTCAGAATGATCCTTCCAACATTACAACTCATATAAATACAAATCATATGATAACTAGACCATTTAAATCATAAGTCATATCATTTTTCAACAGTCTCAAAGTAAAAATTTCATTTTTGCAGGTAAAAACTTAGAAACTTCAAATTTAGTCACCAATCAAATTAACAAGATTGGTAAATCACAACTTCAATTATCCTGGATGAACTAAACTTGCACAAACATTCAATAAAGTTTGACAACCTCCGCAAATCTCTAATTTCAAGAAATTAAGTCTGACATATAATATCAGAACTTAAACCATGTATAAATACGACACCTTATCATTCACAATCTCACTCACTTTTCTTGACAACAGTTTCAAAATTAAGATACCAACAAATCTTCAACTATTTCACATAAAAAGTCAAAACTGTATCGCTATACAATCGGGTCACAAGTCCGTCAAAAACCTCCTTCCCATTAATAGCGTAACTAATTAAATGATATGGGATCTTACGACAAGAAAATATCATAAATTTTGACAAAAAATCAAATATGATTTACAGTTGGGTAGGAAACTAAAAGTAGAGGAGTCAAAGCATTACTTGTATGGTTGCTAAGACACCACAGGGACCACCCTCATGCTGAACTAAGCCCATAGATGTCTCTGGATCAGGACTAAACCTGTAGAGAAATTATATTTCCATAAGATACGCAAATAACAGGTATACAATTCAATATAAGGAAAACCCAAAAACGTCAAGTAGGATATGTAGAAATCATTTGGCAATTAAGGATAAGTAAAGGACAAGTTTCACATCGGACTTCATGTGACGGTTGTTGACGTACACGAGTCAAAAAGTGGCCAAATAGTAAGCACACAATCAAGAACCAAAATAATAAAAGAAAAAAGTTATCACAAATAGTAGCATCAAGTAAAGGGCACATCGTCTTTCAAAAAATTTGCTCCTTGCAAGGACAAGAGTTCTTAAAATTGAATCTATACTCTTTTCATCTATATAATTTCGGGAACATTTGTGGTGAGTTGTCAGTGCTCTTATTAATGTTTCCTCTGAGATTCATTATGAGTCACACAGTTGCACGAGAACAAGTATGGAGTGTAAGCGTTAAAAACATAAGTAATAAGACAGAATCTTGCAAGAACAAAAGCACAATAAGATAAAGGTTCTAAAAAACCATGCAAGAACAAGAATAGTACAACATGATGAAAGAAAATAATGTGAGAATATCGCAGAACAAGAATGGAATGATATAATGTTTGAAAAGGGAAATAAAGTGAGCACTAAATTACACATGAAAAATAAAGCGTCTCAATGTGCACATCAGTCAAACTATGACACTTGACAATTAATTGGGAACACGTGTAACAAACTCTTCGGAAAGTCATCCTTCTTGTATGGATATTAAAACATGATCATGCATTTTAGAACCAAAACCTGCAAGTAAAGCATTCAATGGATATTAAAAAATGATCATGCATCTCAGAACCAAAACTTGCAAGTAAAGCATTCACAATATCGCCAATGCCGCCATTTGGAAGAAAGTATTCAAGTTTTCAATGATTCAATTGAATTCTGCAGTTTTAAAACAGCACAAAGTAACTCAACCTGCAGAACTCTTGACAAAAATTGCACTAACAGCTAAAAATTGCACAACTACATCTTAGAGCCAAATTCCTTCTCTCATTCCTGGAAATCTTCTCAATGAACTCATAATTACTGATTCTCAATGGAGTAATGACCTTTTACATAAAAAGATGGAAGAATCTATTGAAACTACTTGAGGACTTCAAAGTCAGTGCCTATCAGAAAACCAGGAAAGCACAAAACTTCACCATTCAAGCGCCCTTCACTAAGAAAATACAACATAACAAGCTTGATAAGCCAAGAAATTGTAGAAAAATATGGCAATACAACTAAACGCAATGTGATTTGAGTAATGAATGAAATCCCCAAAATGATGAACAAAGAAAAAAATCAACGACACTGAAAAACAAAACTTTAACCAACAATCGTGATCAGTACCTAATGCCCTGGTTACTCCACTGCGCAAGTATATCTTTTGTGACACCTCCTCCAAAAATCATCAAAAACAACTGTTGAGCCTCCATCAACGATAGCTCTTTCCCCAAATTCCCCATTCTATTCTCACATTTCAACAGGGCGATATTTTTCTCCTTACTCACCCCCTCCGCCGCAACTCCACCACCACACCTTCTCTCCTCCCCACCGCTCTTCTCCACCTTTGCCACTGGCACAGTCGCCGGCATAGGTGCCGCCGCGTTAGCAGCATTCTTCGCTGCCATCATCCGCTTCTCCGCTGCCCCGGCCATTAACTCCCGCTTCATCCGTCGATTCCTCATCTCCTGCGACTCCACCGACTCCTCCCCACCGCCGGCCGAAGTATTCTCCCCCGGCTTACTCCTCTTCGGCTCCGGCGGCTCCGTTTGCATGCTCATCCTCAACGCCATCTTCAAATCCTCCTCTTCTTGATCCACCATTTTTGATTAATTAACCAAATCAACTGAAACTATAACTTATATATAAATAATGTACGAATAAATCAGATAAGACAATCAAAAATTTGATCTTTAACAAAAATTAGGGTTTTAACTCAACAAAAGGAGGAGAAAAAAACAATCAGGGGTTTACAATTCTGCTGTATAAATCTGATTTTACATACAAAATACAGAAGTTTAGTCAATAAGATGATGTTTAATACACAGATCACTGAAACAGAAAACTGAATCAAATTATTATACAAACATTATTGATTTAGGGATTATAGACACAGATATGTATTGTATAGATGTGTATGTAGGCGCTGATTATATAACGCATCCTGAACTGGGTTCGGAAAGTTTTAAATCGAGGTGGATTTTTTAATTATGAAACGAAAACGGAATGTAGTAGTCTGTGGTAAACGATGTCGTTCTAGGAGAATCCTATCTAGGCTGGTAATGAGAAAGGATGTGGAAACGATGTCGTCAGGCTTTATCGCCTTGTAATGAGTTAAAAATTGTCTAAAATGTTGGATTACACTTCTTTTTTTTTTTTTTTTTTGGGTAGAAAAGCGTTGGATTACTTATTAGTTTATTTGAACTTCCATGAATTATTTATATTCACATTTTAAGTTATTTGACCCAATTTTTGTTTAATATCTTGAACCGAGTTTTAAAAGGTATTTTGTTCAAGATATTCTTTGATTTAGGTATGTGTATAGTATATATTCAAGAATTAATTTCGGTTCACCGTTATTTTTCTCTGCTTTTTTTTAAAAATTGAATTATGTTTTTTTTTCATGTATTTTTTCCCTAAGGGGTGGTTAAGTAGGTTGCTGGCATGAGAGGTAATTAAACAAACATTGGATTGGGTGATGAAAGAAAGGTGAGGGGAGGGGAGAAGGAATACTTGCCTTTTATGGAGAGGAACCAATAACGTCTGCTTTGAGGTCTGAGATTCTTGCTATGGAATGGAACGAATGGATTTGATTGGATATATTCTACTTTTATGACTTTGGATGTGGATCTCTTATGATGGGATCATCATGAATTTCTATTCTGAGCTGTTTTTCCCTGTGTTTCCCAAGAGAATTTGATGATACTCCCTCCGTCCACTTTGATAATTCTGTTTCTTTTTTTCACACGATTTAAAAAAAATAGTTAATTTTATTAGAAAAATAAAATTAGATTGCTATTTTTCTAAAATAACCTTACATTAAATAGAGTACAATTTTATAAAAACTTGAATTGATGGTAAAAAAAGAACCAACTCTCATTAAATGGGTTAGGTTTATACTAACAACAACTTACATTAAATAAGGGTATTTTAGAAAAATTAAAATACAACTACATTTTTTAATTGGAAAGTGGACTACAATTTGAGACGGACGAAAAAGGAAAACAGAACTATCAAAGTTGGACGGGGGAGTAATAGATTTCATTGGTCACGCACGTGACATTAACAATATATGTAATTATGCATTGCTTAAGTTTGTTTAGTTTATTTCTTTAAATTTGAAATGCTCAATTCCGAAAATAGATTTTGAATAGCAAGACTTTAGGTTAAAATGAAGGATATTTCTAATGGGTGCTCAATTATACACGTACTAACAATTATTACTTTTCCTTGCATTTACATACTGTTTCTGTTTAATATTATCTACCCTCCTTTGTATCTGTTTACTTTCCCTACCTGTTTCAATTGCTATTTTAGGAATTTTTTTGAAAAAAAAAATATTGTAACGATTTGATATATGTCAGATAAAAAAGTGATTGGAAAATGTGTTCACGGAAAATGTAACAATTTTTCTGTGAAAAATCACAGTTCAAACAATCATTTGCAAAACATATGACATCTGAAATATATGTTAGCGGGTGACCGTAGACAGACCCTAAAAATAATGGACTCGTGACCGGATACATAACCAATTCTCGCATTTTTCAAGCACCACCACCTGAAATGGATTATTAAAAGGTCAAATAAACTAGAGCAGGCCCTCAGTATGATAAGAAGAACTACATGTAAAATGGAAGCTTAGTATGATAAGAACTACGAGTGTTTTTTTTTTTTGTTTTTTGTCGGGAGCAAAATTAGAACTTTTACATTGAACTACGACTTGTGAACGATATCATCACCTGTATTTTACCAGACAGTGTTTTTGCAAGAGTTTGAACATTGGCTGTTTACCAAATACTATCACAACTAACTAACTCAATTCTACATCTCTGTAAAGCTCCTTTATATATACTATACAAGATGTAAGAAACTGTCGCTGCACACACATATATAATAGGCACCTACTCTTTCATTTCTAACTGATGAAACGGAGCACTGTGAAAGTTTTGGATCATCCAATAACCTACTGAGGACTAACACTTTTAATGGATGCTGTTTCTCATTTAGGTGCACTAATGCTCGGCAAGTTATATAATTCCACAAAATTTGGCTGACGTGATTCAGATTGCAGTGGCATTCATTATTCAAAGCTACTTACCATTTTTACTCTGAATTGCAGGTGTTTCCTGCTCAGTTTCAAGCTGTTCAGCTAAAACACAGCAGAATCAAATAACTTTGAGAGAAGGCTACAAAACAAGGCTTATCAATGTTAGTCAGCAATGGTTTGGGGAGGGATGGCAAGAGTTCTGTAGCTGCAATATCATCAAGGAAAATGATCTGTTTTTCCTTCACCATTCTGGAAATCTAATTTTTTATGTCATTCACTTCTCAGAAGTCAAAAACAAGGATACATGCCATGGACTGATCCACTAGGTGCCTAATCTTTTGCATCTGCAGTCATCTCTTGGTTCACAAAGTCAGTCCTCAAATTTTTTTTGAACTCTATATATTTTTTCCCCATACCTTTTTTACCTCAAGTATACGTAATTTGCTTTTAGTGAACTCTGGACAAAGATTAATACGGCAACAGGTATTGATGAAAGTTTTTTTACCTCAAGTATACATAATTTGCTTTTAGTGAACTCTGGACAAAGAGTAACACAGCAACAGGTATCGTCGTCGATGAAACCAAATTTTGTTCGAAACTTAACTGAAGGCGTGTGCTTCCATCAAGTTGTTACCAAACAAAACAAGTATAAATTTGTATGTTTGGGATATTTTTCATTTTGTTCTAACTATTCATATATTATTTCAGGCTCATAATTTTGTCTAATCAATACTAGCAAGTTCCACAATTTGTTGGCTAGTTCATAAATACTGACCCGACGCCTTCAAGTACCTTGAGAACTGGAAGCAAAACAATGACAATTGCAACGCGTGGGAGGCAGTTTGCAGATAACAGTTAGATGTCTTTCTAACTGAGCATCGACTGCAGCCCGGAGAAACATTAGTCTTAATTTGCTCCCGATAAAAGTTCCACCTCTACACTTTCCTCATCTTTGATAAGTATGGTGTAGAGGGGCAATTCCCACGGTATAACAAGTTCTACCCTGTATTCCATTAGGCGGAATACAGCAACTCAGATGAATTCGTTCGTTTCTTTTCAATGTACTCTCTAAGGCATGCATGCTAAATAAGACGTTCTTGCTTTTTTAGTGTACCATCTAAGCACCCTCTGAAGCAGACTTTCAAGTTAACTAGATAACCAGACAGATGGAGAACATCTCTGGTTCATTGTACTGCAACCTGCAACCGCTTTTTCCTTGGATGAGCAGCGTAATTGCACAGGTAAATTGATAAGGAACTTGTAGATTCTTAATTTTTTTATCGGTTTGTAAGGCCTAATGGAGTATATTTCTTTGACAGCTTAGACTATGGAGTACCATTAGTAGCAGTGAACTAATTGGAAATTAAACCCAACAAAAAAAAAAAGAAACAACAAACACTTGTTTCATGGAATGCAGAGGTGACTGGTGAGTACCTCGTAAAGTCATGCCCTTCACTTTGCCTGCAAAATTTTGTTCCTTATTCTGTTCTGTTTCTTCACCCTGCCAACTTTAACATCTATTCCCCATCCATTCCCATGTGGGTTACCTCTACATGTCACGATGGGTGCCCACTTTTGCTTATTTTTTGTAAAATAAACTTCGTTTTTTTTTTTAATAAAATAAACTTTGATAAAGCTTCTATTGAATTTGCTCTCTATAGATAATATGAATCAAAGAGAAAATGAAATGAATGAAAGAGAAAATCACTTTCTTGTGTATATTTGTTTGACAAGAAAATTTTTGAAAGAAAATGTATAGTGAATGGCAGTTATTGAAAACATTGTGAGTAATCAACAATTTTCCTCCAAACTTCTACAAATTTTGTAGGACACAAAATTCAGAAAAGTGAGAAAATTTTGAATTTTCATGGCAAAAAACTCATATAAAAGGAAAAAAATAACTTTCTTTCACTTTTTTACATTTTTTCCTTATAAACAAACACTATCTTAAAGATATTCCATGTGTTATATAACGTAGATGCATTTTTGCTAAACTATTCCGTTATGATCGTAGATACAATTACAAAATGGGAAAAAAAAAAAAAAGGATGGGTCATGCACTTGTCTTTATCTTTTTGTTATTTTCTTGTTAACCTTGTGTTTACAAAAGGATTAATTTTCTATACACTGACAATATATACACTTTTATCATTAGATGCATGACACATAATTTAAATTTGAAACTCAAATGTTGCATATGTGTCGTATATCCAATCGTGATAGTGTATACACTGTCAGTATATATAAGATTTAATTTTTACAAAATTATGCAACAAATAAAGAGAGCAATTGTTGTACTTTTGTTTGATTTACGAGGAAAAAATATTGCATTCTTATCTTATACAGAGTCTTTAAATGCCAATTTAAACAATTGTGTTATCTTTAGACATAAAAGAACTAATTTAACATCATTTAATTTTCAAAACTATATTATTCAACTTAATGTGTACTTTTTAAAGGACATTCTTGTATTTTCAGTTATTCAGACTAGTGAGTGGTTAAACACACAGCCTAAACTGTTATGGGGTGGAAGTTTGTTTAGTACTGAAACCCAAGGGCCAAGGGAGCAAATTGAGCTTCAGTGATGTTTGACGGGAGCAAAGTGAAATTTTCCCTCAAATAAGCTTTTAGTTCTATTATTCAAAAGCTGGGGCTTAGTAGTGAAAAAATAAATGCAATAAATTTTCTATCCCACTTCTTGTCACACTTTTATTATGTTGTCATGTATCTTTCATAAATATCCCATTGTAATATTTTTAGGTCACAAAATGCAATATAACAGACTTAAAAAAAAGATTAAAATATAAGATGTTTATGAAGGATACATGACAATATAATCAAAAGTAGGATAGGGAGTGGATTAGAAAATAAGACAAAAAATCTACCGAGTAATTAAGCTTCGCCTT